GCCAAAAAACAAAAAAAATGTTGTCAGGTGGTTCTCATTTGACATTTGGAGCGAAAATCTAAATATTGAATCAAAGACGAATACTAACAAACTCATTGTCTATTATTTTCACGCTATCAAAACGCAAAACGCTATCGTTTCCTAAACTCATGTTCATCTAACTGGTGCAGTGGATCGTATTATTCTTCTTCTTTGCGTGCCTCCGTCTAACGTACCGCAAATCTGCTATATCACGCCGAAATTGTTCCATTTTTTTCACAATTCAAGTAAAAGTTTTCTCACAACAAAAATCAAAATAAATCTGCTGAACTCATTGACGGTTTCTGATCTGCTAACAGCTGATTAATGTCAGCCATGTTGTTAGTTAACGAGTTAAACAAGGTTCCTATGGTGTTTAAGTTGACAGCTATTTAAACAACAAATTTATTAATCACTTAACACTAATTAATGTTTATGGGTAACCCTTTTTTTTTAAACATTTTTTATAGTATTATTTAAAGTTAAATGGTGTTTATAAGTAAGGCTGTGAATATTGTTGCCTTACGTGAAAGCACGGCAACTGGGCAGCTACAGTCGTAACGTTTAAACCAAAAAATCATCATAGCAATCTTTTTCCAATCCTCCAAAATTATGCTACTATAGCCCCATTGTTCGGTTTCAGCAATTCATTCCAACCGTAAGCGCAGGTCGCCAGAAAACCGATATTCTTTAATATACAATAACCAAATTGACCGTCGAAGCACTACGAATGTTGATGTGGAAAACTAATTCTACGAGGTAAATTTGATCGTCTGAATAAACAGCAAACCAACATATTCTACTTTTATTTGGAATTTACCATGATATTTTCGGTGAAGGAAACGGCATCTGCTGCGACTGAAAAGACATCTTCTGGGCGAGCTGGTTCCATTGTAGACCTTATCTTTTGCTCCAGAGCTAGGTAGTGGTCAAGAACAAGTCCATAGATTTAAATAATAATCTCAGTACAGAGTACTAAAAAACCGACCTCAAAAGTACGTGGAATTACATCTAATTGCCCAATTTTATTGAAATATCCCCTAGTTCGCCACAATAGGGAACTTGACACAGGAGATAATAAAAATAAACCATTAAAATAATTGCTCCTTAGAATAAAATTTAGGCGTTATTTATAAGAATCTTCATGCGAGAAACAGCCACCCTTAGAGGTGGATGATTTTCTTCAAAATTAAATGGGACCGCTATGGAGGTATCCTCTTTCCTACAAAAACCGGTCCACAAATACCGGAGTTGTCGCGTAACATACAAAAAAAAAAATACAGTCGAACCTCCTCCTTTTTTTGAAGTCGGTCAAAAAAAGACAAGAATTGCAAATTATTTTTGGATACTTATTATTTTTTATTAAATTATCAATTAATACGGTATTTCAACAATGCTGAACGACGCACCGTTCGATTCCGGCAATATTAAGTTGGATCGCGGGTTTTATTCGTCAATAAAGACGACGGTAGCGGTTATTGTGGAATGCGCTCATAAGCCTTCAAGATAATTATACCCCTTGGTAACGTGCGTGTGACGTCACGTATACACGGAACGAGTGTAATAATGCATTGTCGTAAATTTTATGCAATTCATAGGCAAAAACATGATATCATATAATATGTAGGTATGTCTATATCGAGCTAAACAAGTTGATATACCGATTTGAAACCTCTTGAATAGATTATATTCACAGACCAAATACAATATATATAAATTTAAATTCTATATTTTAATTTTTGATAACAATCATTAAATAACAGTTTTATGTTATAAACCTCGGTTTATATAGATACAAGTTTTTTTAAATATGAATTCATGTAATACCAGTTCGCAATCAAACAAACATGTTGAGTTTTTTTTTGTTCTATTATTGGAAATGAAACTATATAACTATATAATTATTAATACGTCTTGTAGCAAACCGTGACAGATGCTATGCCAACTAAGCCACTGAACGAACCAGCGGACCTCACGAATTTTTCTGTACGTGTTTGTAGGATCTTTGTATGGTCTGGTTTTTAACGACTTTTTAGCCGTAGCGACATGTATGAGAAATCTATGAAAGTATTTCGTCACACAGTTAGGCACCTTTACAGCTACCAGCCCTGGCTAGAGATGTCGCTATTAATTGTAACTTAACATTTTATTGAATTGGTATTCAATTCTTTTTTGTGTATAATAGAATATTAATAATTAAATAATATATATATATTTTTGTGTATAATTTAATATTTCTCAGAATAGACAGAATTCAAACCTTATTTATTCCGACAAACCTATACATAAGTTTCGCATTCAAGTGTTACTAATAGTAAAACACAATTAAACATTTATAATGATTGTTTATAAATAATATGTAAATTTACCTAAGTAAGTAAATTAAATGTCTATACAAACGTGCCCTTGTTTCGTTTGTTTTTCATATTTACTTCCAACTTTCTAATGAACACGCTTGATTTACCACCCTAAACTTTGTCTGGCTAGCTTTTAATGAAGTCAACGTACCTGTAGAGCATGTAGTTTAGCTGGTTAACATATAACATTACCAAAAACTTATACATGAACTGCCTCCCATACTGGACTGCCACGAAGAGGTCCTGGGTTCGATTCCCAGGAGGAATATCGGTATAGCCTATATTTATTTATCTCGTGAATTTGGGTGTAATTTGTGGTTGCCTATGTGTGTGCCCATGGCACCCGCAATACAGGGTTTCTCTACTGCGGGGCTATCAGTGTGTTGCGTTTTTACGTTATTACCTATGAAATTAAAAAAGAATTCTCTTTACAAAATAAACACTGCCATTTGAAAAGGTACAGATTATAATAGCCAGTAGAGCTCCATGTGAAAGAGTTCGTCCCGGGAAGTATTGCCATCTTAACCTATTTCTGCCGCCAAGCAGTAATATGAACATTACTGGGTTCTGGTTTTCATAGGGATACTGGTGAAGTTACAGGTACATGCGATTTTTCAATTTATGTCTCAGGGTGACGGGCGCAGTGGCAATGCTTCTCAAATTTTTGAGATTTAAAATTCTAAGTAGCAATGTAACTGTTATGTACAGGCGTGTCGGTTACCACCAGGCGCACAACTGGTTCGTCTTGTTACTTCTGTAACGGTTACGGTTTGGCCATGTTGGTCTACCACTCAGAGATCCCGGGTTTGATTTCCGGGCTGGGAGAAATATTTGTATGGCCTACATTTATTTCTCTCGTGATTGTGGGTGTAATTTATAGTTGTCTATGAGTGTGTCCATGGCACCTGCGATACATGATTCCCTAGTATGGGGCTATGAGTGTGTGCATTATATACGCATATCAAAAATGTCTAGGAATCAAGCATGTTTGCCAATTACTAAACATCAGGCTTTTAAAATTTTCTTTTTGGTCACTTTTATAATTTGAATTTGAAAATTAAATTAACCAAAACAAATCCATTGGTGTAACAAAAATTAATTAATAAACCTGATGTTGATGTTGATGATGCGCATGGAAAGAGCCTCCTCGTGGCGCACACCGGTAACAGCTAGCCACGGTAACGCTTTGCCTAGGCTGGCTAATCTTTTCAACACGATGCTTCACCGACTTACGACCCCCTTCCAAAGTCTTCACTTCTAAAACCAGCTCTGAAGGTCATCTCAATTAACATCGAAGGTTTTTCTATTAATAAATCGACTCTTCTTTCAGAACTTAGTTTTGCGACGCAGTGTAATGTCTTGTGTGTCCAAGAAACACACCGTGGTCAAGAACATCTTAGGCCACAAATACCTGGTATGACACTTACAGCTGAGATACCACATGAAAAGTATGGCAGTGCCATCTTTACAAAATGTAGCCTAAATGTAACATCCGTATCATCTCAAATTGTAAATTCCATAGAAATAATTTCCATAAATATCGGAACATGTATAATCTCATCTGTGTATAAGCTGACAAATCAACCATTCGAGTTTTGTAAAACCAGGAACTTTGACGACCAGTCCACTAAAATAGTTGTTGGTGACTTCAACAGTTACAGTCTGTCTTGGAGGTACAAAGAAATGAATTTCGACGGTGCAGCGGTAGAAGAGTGGACAGATTCTTTAGACCTTACTCTGCTCCATAACCCCAAACTCTCTCCATCGTTTAATAGCTGTCGATGGAGGAAGGGATATAAACCTGACTTAATTATTATTATCTCTAATATAGGTCCTCTCTGTGCCAAGACGATTTGTGCCCCTATCTCCAGGACACAGCACAGGCCAAATAGTCCATGCTGCTATAACACCTATGCAAGCACCATTTAAGCGTCGGTTTAATCTAGCCAAAGCAAACTGGGACCATTTCTCGGAGATTATAGACGGGAAGCTAGGTAAAACTGACTTGAAGCCAATATCTGACAACTATCAAACGTTCATAAACATCATAAAAATAGCATCGAGGCAAAGCATCGCTAGAGGTTGTCGTAACTCGTGTACCCCGGGCCTGAATAAGGAATCCACTAAACGTCTAGCTAACTACGAGCAACTGTACACTAAGGACCCATTCTTAATAAGGAGACCCTTATAGCTGGGAATGAACTTTTACACATGGTCAGTCAAAATCGGAAAGAAAAGTGGATGCATACAGACTGTAACGTTGATATGACGCGGAATAGTAAGAAAGCGTGGTCTGCTGTCCAGAAACTTACGGGAGATCCACCCCCTCCTGCGAAACCTGATCTAGTTTCAGCCAACCAGGTAGCACATCAGCTCTTACTTAACAGTAAACCACCCAAACGGTTATCGAGGGTCCGGGAAATACGTAACTGAAATGAGTTTACTAATGAGATCAGCAAACCATTACTTACTTAATTGACTCTGGGGATTAAATTATTAAAGAACGGAAAGGCAGCAGGAGTAGACGACCTTGTGGTTGAGCACATTAAACATCTCCGCCCACTAGCAGTAACTTGACTGCTAGAATGTTTCAACTACTGCCTTGAAAGTCATAGGATCCCCAAAATGTGGAGAAGAGCAAAAGTTGTGGCTCACTTGAAGCCTGGTAAGTCTCCCTATGATCCCAAAAGCTATAGGCCCATTTCGCTGTTGCGCCATCTTTACAAACTGTTTGAGAGACTGCTCCTCAACCGTCTAACACCATTCGTAGATCCGCAACTGATGGACGAACAGGAGCAGGATTCAGACCCGGAAAGGCTTGCTGTGGCCAGGTTCTCATGCTCACCCAGCATATCGAGGATGGCCTCGAGAGAAACTGTATAACAGGCTAGGTCTTGGTTGATTTAACAGCTGCTTATGAAACTGTAAATATACGAAGACTCTTACGAAAAGTCGAAGAACTGACCAGTGACCTTGGGTTTGTTCGGATACTGTGTGAGCTTCTACGTAACCGTCGCTTCTTTGTTCACTTTCTCTCTGAAAAACGCAGATGGCGCTGCGTAAATAACGGACTTCCCCAAGGGAGTGTCCTTACCCCAACTCTTTTCAACATCTACACCAATGATCAACACAGCAGCCCATCTACAACACGTTTCCTATATACGGACGACCTAGCCACCTAGACAACCCATGTACCAACTTTCGAAGAGGCCGAGGAGAACCTGATCTCAGCCTTGAATGAGCTGGGAACGTATTATGATATAAACGGTCTCAGGCCCAACCCATCAAAAACCCAGACGTGTGTTTTCCTCTGCGCAACCATCAGGCTAACCAAGCGCTAAGCATCACCTGGCAAGGAGTCAAGATCCAACATGAGTATTTTCCTAAATATCTGGGGGTTACACTGGACAGATCACTCACCTTCAAACCGCACTGTCAAAAGACCAAAATAAAGGTCAGCTCACGCAATAACCTCATTCGACGTTTAACATCCACCAATTGGGGAGTAGCGTCAGATGTCCTACGAACTACAGGTTTGACCTTGTGTTTCTCGGCTGGTGAATACGCGTGTCCGGTGTGGCATAGGTCTGCACATGCAGGACTTGTTGACGTAGCGCTTAATGTCACCACCAGCTGTCTCAAGCCAACTTCCCTCAATATGGTATATCCTCTAGCAGGTATTGGATCACCACGGCGTCGGGATGTAGTATGCTCCGCGGAGAAGTACAAACAAGAGAGTGACAGTCGATACCCTTGATATGGCCACCAAATTCCCCGAGCTCGCCTCAAAAGCCATAAAAGTTTCCTGCGCACCACAGAGGCTACGAGTGACTATCCAACTGTCACTAGGTGTGTATTGTGGAAACGGACAAATCCCCCACTACCTGGTTTCATAGTACCTCAAGAGCAACTACCACCAGGTTGCGACCTGCGGTGGCCCGTGTGGAAGTCCTTAAATCGCCTACGCACTCAAGTAGGACGCTGCAGAGACACGATGTGTAAATGGGGTTTCAGGGATGCTGGTCAAACTCAATGTGATTGCGGTGCCCCAGCGCAGTCCATGCAGCCCTTGCTGTTGTGCACCTTGTGTCTTAACACCTGTACGAGGGAAGATCTCTACGCAGCCACGGGCAGCGCAGTCAAAGTAGCAACGTACTTCACACTTCTTCATTATGAGCAGCCCACAAGAGTCGAAGCGAATGCATTTCAAAGTTATTTATAAAAATTTGCACAAACACAACACTTCACCAGCTGATTATAAAATCGCCATTTTGTTTCGTTTTCTACAAGATGTTGGCGATCGCTTCGTAATCAATCGATGGAATAGATAGTGAGCGTAAGCGATTGTCAAAATTGTCACTTTAGCTACGGTTTATATGGGAGTTGTCGTACGAGTTGGACGTTCCGTTTGATGGAATAGAAAGTGAACATTGGCTACCAATTTATCGTTCGTTACGCTACATCACGTGACATTTCTTACGCTTATGTCAATCCCATACATTGTCTTTCTATTCCATTGGCGATATCGCTAACAAAAAGACACGTTGGCTAGGCCCTCAGATTTTCAATAATTACCAAAAACGTGCTTAATTCCTAGACAATTCGATGAGTGTATTATTATGGCAACGTTATTCCCAAAATACAAATTTGTAAAAGTTATTGTATGTTTTTTTATGTCATGAGTACGATGATCACCTGTTGAATTGTGGTGGAACGTTTTTGTTTTGTCTGTATAGTTTGAAGTATATGCATAATGTGTGACAAGGTATAATCCAGCCAAATTATCTGGTTTTGTTAGAGAGAGGTGGCTAGGGGCAATTCTTTTAATAGCATCCTCGTCATGTAGTTAATTAGTCATAAACTTTATTAAATATTTTTATTTATGTTTTATTCATATGTACAACTATTTTTACAATCCCAATACAACATTGTAGCATTTTATAACATAATCAATCACATAACGTAATACAATTAAAAATTATTATTATTATTATTGAAACTCAATAACGCTTTATTAAGTGTAAACTTTCACGAATTTCACTCATTATTTGATTTTTAGTTCGGGACTTAATCATATATAAAACGTATTTTAATTACCTCGACGTATTGCAACATCCATGGTCATCCATTCCCTATACGTCAGAAACGTCGAGGTAATTAACGTATGTTTTAAACATGATTAAGTTCCGAACTAAAAATCAAATAACACTTAATTAAAGCCAAGTTCTAATAAAGGATAATAATTAATAATATACAATAAAATAGAATTAATTATGAACAAAGCAAAAACTGTGTTGTCTTCATTAACTCGCTCTCAAAACAAGTAAAAATTTCTACTTCTTCAGGTACTCGATTTAGTGTGGAATGGTGCGGGTACGAGACTTGTCCAGCGTCGACGGCGCCGGTGCATGTACTCGTTTGGCACGCATAAACAGACTGATTGCAGCACTCACAGGTTTTAAATTTTAACTCTCAATACTCGCAGTATATATTTTATGAGAGCCAAATCCTTTCTTGGTTCCAACTTGTTGTATCCAACCATAGCCAATACAAATAAGATTGAATACATCAAGGGATAAAAAGGGTATACCCCATATAGTCTCATGTACAGTCCACAGCACATCAAGCTACACATTGACGTATCTTGTTACGTTGCACTGGAGGCGATTTTCGAACAAAAATGTGTAGTGTGATGTGCTGTTGTCCGTAAAAGTATCTCGTCATGTGCGTTAGTTCGCTTCACATTCCAATAAGCCGAATATTCCCCATGAATTTTGACATCAAAGACAATGAAGGCAAATAGTTGACGGTCTATTTGATGGAAAGTTATTAATTAGGTAGCCGCCGAGGAGCTAGTAGCATTAGAACTCCTTGTAAAAGAGTTCGTCTAGGGAAGCATTGTCAACGTACCTGTTTCTGTCGCCAAGCATTAATATAATACTGCGTTCTTGGATAACGGTGTTGGTGAAATTATAGGCACATGGTATTTATAGTTGACACGTATTATAGACACATGGTTGTACTTGTGGTTGACAAGTACCATGTGTCTATGATTTCACCAGCATCGTTATGTCTTTATTATAATCTAAGCGATTTGAAGTTCTAGTTGGCACTTCAATAGTTCTAGGCGAACTTGTTCCTTGCCACCAGGAACACAACTTTTTCGTCCCGTCACTTGAGTTTATAAAATTAATGGTTAAGAGCAGCGACTCCGGAACAAAAACTGGTTAGAGTTCAGTCAGATTGATGGAATTTTTGTCTGTGTTCGATCCTTGATATCCTTGTAATAACATAAATACAAATTTAGTATTAAGTATTCACTATTAAGTACAAATAACCGTTCTTTGTAAACACTCCTCTCACACATTCTCCCAAAGAAAAAAAAAAGAAAGAAAATATTTAGTATTAAGTAGTAGTAAACATTTTAGTATTCTCAATAAATACTTCTATTACACATAGTTCCAAGACACTCAAATGTCATTTAACAGCACTTTATGTACATACTGTCAAAGACAAAATGTAGGCCAATAGCACAGACATGGAACCTTTGATATAGTACAGACATAGAATCTAAAAAAAACTAGTGAATAATTTTCACAAAAAAAATAAATGCAATTAAATGACATTATTTTATTTGCATGAGATATGTTTGAATAAAAACTTACAAAGAAGTTATTAATTAGTGCAGCGTATCTTACCGTTACATTAAACAAAGATATTAGTTCATAATATGTACTACACTTGTTTATTAGGTATGTTCTGAAAATTCATTAACAATATAATAACAATTTTCTAAAAGCCGTTTCTCTAATTTCCTGTACAAGAAAATCATGGTAGTAAAACATCATGTTCAATAAATAAATATTACATTATTAACTTTTTGTAATATTTGCGATTCTAGAATCCTTTACAAGATCTTCATACCTGTGTCTGCTATTGCACAGACTCTCTTAAATTTCCAACCGAGAACACAGCAATGTTGCTTTGCAGTAGAAATAGATAGAGCAGTCCAGTCTCCCCAGACCGTGGAAATACAAATAAACCTACCGCTAATAAACTTTACTCTAAACCAACTTACATTAAAATTCAAACAGTAATATGACTAAAGCCTGAAACACAATATTCATAGTCACTAATCAAGTCGTTGTAATATTTTTAATGGAACTAGTTATGCTAATGGGGGTTGAGCACTGAAAGATGAACGGCGGGCAAGCCGCAGGAGCGAGTATATGTATTGTACAGTAGAGAATGTACTGCCATTTTAGTAAAAATATTGCACTATCACATTTTACGAATTCGGCCATGTAATTGCGGCCTAATCTTCATCTAAATAAAATAGCACTTGGTCATAATAAAATATACATAAGTTGATGCGTAAAATTCAAACTTCGAAATTATTAAAATATTTGTTTCCTTTGATAATTATCGTGATCATTATATTAATTATTTGATAACTATCCGCTGATTCATGGTTTTTAACCGACTTCAAAAAAGGAGGAAGTTCTCAATTAGACTGTATTTTTTTATATATGTGTTACGCGATAACTCTAGCATTAATTGTGAACCGATTTTCATTTTTTTGTTAACCCCGTTTAATTTTTAAGAAAATGTTCCACAGCTAAGAGTGGCAAATTGGGGGACGAATCCGGCTTCGCGCACTTTCCGTTAACCGATTTCAATAAAACTTGGCAAGTAGATGTAATTCCACGAACTTTTGAGTTCGTTGAACAAATAGTGAGAAAACGCAAAGAAAACAATTCGTCTTGTAACTTTTTGAGATTGGCATTTGACACGTTTGGATACGTCTCGGATACACGTAGCATTTCGTTGTTCCAAATAATTTCTATATCAACTGTAATTATTACTCCGAACCCTGATAGAATTACAGCGTTCTGAACTCGAACTATAATACATTTTTATTTCAGAAATGAATCAAATTAGTGATCCATGGTACAAAATGAAGAGAAAAAAGAAGATAAAAGTCCATTTAGACAAAATGATTTTATTCTGTTCCTTTACTTGAGAAAAGACAGAAAAGCAATGCTTTTGGAAAACACGAATGGCGGTGATTTAGGAAATTGGCCCCGTTTGCGTTTTGAGTAGCTGACCCGCTGCGTAAACGTGGACACTTTGGATTACCGCCACAGGATACCATTAGAGAAAACCATGGATGCGGTTGCTGCTTCTGGACACAATTATGGATTATAGAAGGGATTACTACTAGTTATCGGTTACTTGCATTGAGCACAAGACACAGATTCTACGTTTGCGCGACGCCATAAATTGCCAAACTTCGTTCAAAAAGCTTACATTAGGAGAATATACAGAGTTGTGATAAAAACTATAAGATATAATTCAGAATGACCAATCGCTTTAGTGAAGGGCGTTATTCGCACTTGACTTGTATGGACATTGTTATCTTTTCGTACTCTATATCTCATTCATACTGTGCGTTAATCCAGCACTGTTGGAACCAATGAATTATTTATACTGTACCACAAACGTATATTTGCAATCAGTACAAACCAATGTGACATTTCCCGTGACGCAATAAAGACCACAAAAGTGGTAAAATAAAACTGAACCAGTTGCGGAGATTATTGCGTAGGGTCGAGTATATTCACGTTTAAAATAAACGAAACGTACTGATATTTGAGGATTACTCTCTTTTTGACTTTTGAATTATGTCATTGAATTAAACATTGAAAGTTAGATTTTTCTGGTGAGGATTTATTCTAATTCGCCTAAATAACGCAAACAATAAAATGAAATGGCGTCGCGAATAGTTCTTCGGCCTTGTAGCATTCACAAGACCGAAGAACCTATTTTGATCACAGAAAAACATTGACTTACAATTATATGGACGTCGGGTCCGCGCTAAAAAGTGTCCGAACTTATAGGGCGTTAAAATCGTACACAGAGCGTCATTCACGCTTTAGTCTTCGTTTGTTCGACTGACAGCGAAGCAAGCAAAATTAGACAGTACTGCGATGACATTACAATTTAAATTCATCGTTTTAGCTTTTTCATATTCCTTTACATGTCACTACGTTTAAATAGGTTGACATGGGACATTTTTTTCGTGGTTTTTGTATTAGACCCGTCGTCCATATATTTGTAAGTCAATGCAGAAAAAGCAATATGTGTAACAAATAAAAAATATAAAAAAAAAACACCAATCAAGTGCGACCAAAAGACATAAATTTCGGAGATAAGAGAAAATGGCGATTTTTTGCATATAGTTAAAGATTTAACGACGTTGACGTTGACTCTGTGTGTGTTCTACCGTCCTTATAATGGGAACTGCTCAGAAGAAATTTTCGAACTAGTACCACAGTCTTGTTTCCACCATCGTACCTCTCGCCAAAGTAGTACAGCCCATCCCTACATCATAGGTGCCTGGCATTGTAAAACAACGCGGGAATAAGGTTCATATCTTTCTCGAACCTGCAAGATGTGGAATGATCTTCCTCCTGAAGTATTTTCTTTGCGTATTGACATGGGGTTCTTCAAAAAACGCTTGGGCTCTCAAAGGCTGGCAACGCGTAGGCAGCTCATCTAATGTTGCAATTGTCCATGGGCGACGATGACCACCTCCCATCAAGCGGCTCGTCTGCTCGTTTTGCCTCCTGCTTTATATAAAAAAACGCACACAATAAGACAAAATCTTCAATAAAATTTTATAATTAAAAAATTTCGATCCTAATTGAGGCTATCAACGCAAAAGTGAAGTATCTCACATTTATTTTTTTCTACAGTATTACTTTAAACAATACTAAAGTTATATAATCATTTTATAATAAATAGCATCCAAATATAAAATAATTTTTTCGCTGATAGCCACTATTGGAAAAACTGAAAATGGACCGTTTTTCGTTTGCGTAAACTTTGTTAGGCGTTGTGACAGATCATGAGCATAACATATTTTTTTCTATAACATCAAGTGAACAAGTCGTGCGCCTGCGGTCGAGACGCGCCTGTCCATAACAGTTACAGTGCCACTCAAGAGTTTTAATTGCAAAGGTCTGAGGGGCACTACCACTGCGCCCGTCACCCTGAGACATAAGTTGACAAGTCCCATATGCCTGTAATTTCACCAGCACCCTTACCTTTCAAAACCGAAATACTGTAATGCTACCCTCGACGAATTCTTTCACAAGGAGCTCTGCTGCTACTAAAATTACCCAGTCAATTTAATGTGATATTATATTTTTTTAATGATTTCAGACTTTATGCACATATGAGCAAACACTCTGTAAAAAATTTATTCTCTACATCAAAGCATTTGCATAGAAATTTTCAATACTTCTGAAAAGCGACCAGCAAGTTGAACAGATCAGCTGACCGTTTTTATTATATAAAATATTGTTAAATCAGCGTTTTTAAATCATAAAGCCGGTAACCAGTTTATTTTTATCGTGCCGTATCGCATCGGTTTACGACGCGTCACCGACATTCCGCTGCATTCGACACTCTCACAGAATACAATAATATAGTATAACAAAACAAATAAATTCTAGTAGCAGTAGAGCTCCTTGTGAAAGAGTTCGTCTAGGGATGTACTGCCGCCTTACCTATTTCTGCCACCAAGCAGTAACGGTGCTGGTGAAATTACAGGCACATGAGACTTGTCAACTTATATCTCAGGGTAACGTACGCAGTGACGGGAGGTACCACAGTTTGCGATGCAAATCTCTGAGTCCCACTGCAACTGTTATGGACAGGAGTGTCACTTACTACAGACAGACGACTGGTTTTTCCCGTTACTTGGTATTATCTAGAAGTATAAAAACAAATGTTACTAAGTCTTCGATTTTCGCGATTGTTACACCTTGGAATTAAAACTATTTTTTTTTTAAACAAACAAACGTTTCGACACTTTACAAGAGCCATGATCACGATTGATCGCGATGGTAAATCCACCAACCAGTTATGCTTAATGTTACTATAAACCACCCTATTTTTCATTATAGTTTATTATAAGTAGCAGTAGAACTCCTTGTGACAGAGTTCGTCCAGGGAAATACTGTCACCTATTTCTGCCGCCAAGCCGTAATGTGAGTGTTACTGCATTCCGGTTTTGAACGGTAAGAGTGCTGGTAAAATTACAGACACATTGGACTTGGCAACTTATGTCTTAGAATGACAGGCGTTGTGGCAGTGCCACTCAGATCTTTCGACCAGTGGGTCGATAGGAGACACGGGCTCCTAACGTACCGGCTTGTGCAGGTACTGTGCGGACACGGCTGCTTTGGGCACTACCTGCCCAAAGTCGCCCAGAGTGAGGCCTCAACGTCCTGCCATGAGTGCGGCGATACAGACGATACGGCACAACACACCCTAGAGGTGAGCAATCGCTGGAGTGAGCAACGCCGCACTCTGGTAGCGACTATAGGGGGAGATCTCTCGCTGCCTAGCGTGGTATCTGCCATGCTAAGCGGCGTGGAATCGTGGGAGGCAGTGGCCTTCTTTTGCGAGGAGGTGATGTCGCAAAAGGAGGCCGCGGTACCGCGATCCGGCGCAGGCGGCGGGGAAGAAGGCGAGTGCAGTTCGCTGCTCGTCTAATTCCCTAGGCCAGCAGACAAGAGACGGGGATCCCTTGCCCGCATTACACGGTCTCACTCGTCGTCTGAGGGAATGGGTTAAGCGTCCGACCCTCCCCTCCTTAGCGCGGGAACTTTGGCAGAAACCAAGGTGGCCGGGGCATCGTTGTGGTAGAATCCTCGGGATGCCACGGTGCCCACAACACCCGGCCAAGAGGGTGCGCCGGGGGTTTTTAGTGGGTATGCCCTCCATTGGAGCGTCAGTCCCACATAAGCATTTCCCCCCGATAAAAAAACAAGTGCCACTCAGATCTTTGCAATTTTTTTTAATAAAATGTTTAATTTTAAAAAAATAAATAAATTTAATTAAAAGTAAATAAATGAATTAAAATATTAATAAGTAGTACTGCATCCTTATATCTACATGAGATTTTTTACCAGAGGAAAAACTGGTTGGCCCCAAAATGGGCTCCAAGTCTGCAAATTTAAATCATCTCATTTGTGTGTCGATAGACGGACAATGCCAGGCTTTTGTACGTTTGATATTCTGGAAAAAATTAATAGTGTCTTGTCAGTGGCTAGCCACCGAGCTACTATTCAACTGTCATTGCAATTTTTTGGTAATCTATTCTTACGTAATGTATTAATAATATGAATATTTAATTTGAAGACTAAATTGCTGATTAAACAAGATAAAAATTAATATATGTATAAATTTAGATATATAAGATAAGATAGTATTATCCACGTAAGGTTCAATTTATATTGCGGCGGAACTGAATAAAAACTATTTTGTAACGTATGCACAATAGCATAGCACAAATGCTGGAATACGTTCGCCGGTATTAATGAAAAATTACAATACCATTATATTTAAAATACATTGGTCATTTAAAACTATAATTTTGAACTTGCTTAAAGATGTATGAAGCCATTTACTATTCAATTATTATTTTTATTTTCTTTCTATATTAGCTTTGGAACATTGTGTTCTACATTACAACTTGTTATGTATATAACTCATGTGAACTTACGTAGTAATTATTATTATTATTATCATTGTATCAAAGTTTCATCAAGTTAGTAATAGTGGTTACCGGTGTTGGTGACACAATCATTACATATTTAGTGTTACAAAATTACTTGCAACTTTTAATTGTTTTACTGTTTGTTGACTACTGACTACATTCATTCATTCAATCACTGTTAGCCATTTCTCTGACACTCTAATGAGACTCAGCTGCCATTGCAACTAAATTTTATCACAATAACAAATATTATCTTATCCGCTCACGCGATGCGCTCCTCCTACCGCAAAATGGCGGCTATTTGGCTTCGCAAATTAGAAAAGGATTCAGTTTAAATACAAGTTTTTATAAATAAACATTATTATTCTGCATTGCTAAATAAATACCCTCCGTACTACCAACAAAAACATCTCAAATGAAATGCAGTAATACACCGCAAATCCTGCACTAAAAAAGCACTAATGAAATTTTTGGTGTACTTGGATAAATATGATAATATTCCGTTTGAGTGGTTCTAACGTTTACCAAGAATTTACTCCTCAAAGTATAGTTTATAAACATTTATATTCAGGGTAAACTTAAAAAACGCTACTTACGGTATGTTTTCAAGAAATAGACACCGAAATCACCAGCCCAAACAATAACACACACGGTTGTCGTGACGTATTTTTGAAGTTGTTTATTTTTTTAAATGACAGACCCAGGCATTAAAAACTTTATGGTTTGCTAGAGTAGTTACCGAAATAGCAATTAATATTAGTTATTTTACCTGTTATAACTTCGATATCCGATAAATCGGTACAAAATCATCACCGGCACCTCTAGGTGTGGTATGCGTCTACGGCTGCATGTATCGCGTGAGCGAATAATTGCAATAAAATGTCAATAGAGTCCATCTTCCCTGCTGAAATTATGATGTTCTTTTTTAAATTTCAACGGTCTCTCGCAGCATCCTGGGTAGAAAACGGATTTCTTTTGCAAGGAACTGGGGCTTGTCAAATTTAATTGAATGTGTAGATTTACCCATGATATGTTCGCAGACGGCAGACTAATAATCTTTTATGTACAGACTGTTTTACGACACGGTACTTGTCAACAGCAGCCATTTTTGTGTTTGTTTGAAAAATCAAATGTACTTACGCGATTTAAAATCTGACACACTTTCTTAAAAAGCCGTAGTAGTGTAATAGTTTGACCTTACGCCTGTTAAACAGAGGTCGTGGGTACGAATTCAGACTCGCAGAGTTTCTCAAATTTAATACGAAATTACATGAGCTTTTCGGTGAAGGAAAACATAGTGAACCTGTACCTACGTCGAAAAAGGTTCACAACTCTTGGAAAATCGTGTGGAGTCCCCAACCCGCATTGGGCCAGCGTAGCGACGATGGCCTTAATTATCGCCTGAGGTTAGACCCATACTCAGCTGTGGTACGTATAAATGGGTTGATCATGATGACGACTCTTTCTTGACAAAAATCTTTCTTGGTGTCTACTCAAATTGAGCAATCCATGAACGAAATTACCGCATCCGGATTGCGTTAAATTTGCAACCAGAATATTAAAAATACATTCTACAGGTCATAGCGGAGCCCGGAAATTTTCAATTTCAACGCGTGATAATTGAGACCACCAGGAAAAAAATGTAAGCGCAAATATGCAAAAATGTGACAAAAGAAAAATAAGGTAAACTAACAAAGACCGCGCTATCCTCATACCGATCATCGACTTTCTGCCTGACATAGAACTATACAATTTTTTTACATAACAAAAGAATAAATCTTTGCTAGGCGATCAATCAATACCAAAGAGAGTAGGGTTCGTAATAGAATAATGTATGCGTACTTCAAAATTTCCATAAATTTGTGATATCCATGACCCAGTAGGACATTGGATAAGGAGGTCACGGGTTCGATTACCGGTAGAACCAATTTAGTTGACGAACTTTTCCTATTAGTTTCTGATCTGAACCTTCGGAGCGCCGCGAATTAATTTCGTCGAATTAGTTACATACAGGGAATTCCCTCGTTTGAGACCAGATATTTAGTGCAGGTGTCAATTATTATTAATTCACACATCGCATTTCTGTTTTGTCACACGGGTTCATCGTCAGCCTTTTTCTGATCCAATCTTGGATATAGGTCTCTTCGCTCTTCTTTCACTCTTGGCGATCTTGTGCCCGACCCACCCATTCCCGACCTCCGTGTCGTCAGATGTCGTCCACCCAGCACTGCGGTGGTCTATCGCACCCTCTTGTATCCGTTCGGGGTCTCCATTCAAGTACTCGCCTTGTCCAGCGCCTCACGTCCATTCTTGCAATAGCCCACGTTTCCTTCGCCACGACAACAATGCTATCTTTGACTTTGGTCCTTTTTCGGACCCAAGTATTACTTATTCTCGCAAGGTGACTCCAAGCATTATTCTCTCCATACCTCTCTGCGCGACTCGGAACTTCTTGGCGGACTTCTGTGTAAGAGTCATGGTTTTCCTACCGTAGACATTCACGGGCATGACACTCTGCTCGAAGATTTAGGCTTTGAGATATAGGGGACTGGGTTACTTGTCAATAAATCTGACAATGTTATATATTTTATAATACAGTTATCATATGTAAAGGACAGTTAGAAAATTACAGTTACATAATAATGATGAGATAACTGACAAACTTACTAAATTAGCTTTCTCAATTTGGCAACTATTATTTAGCATGTATTTAAATTTGCAAAAGCAGCAGGCAAAGAACAAAATCTAAACGGTTATCTTTTTCAATGATTGATCCTTTTTCTCTGAAACATAAAATAAATTAATTCAATGCGTATTTTAATTTGTTCTAAGATTAACTTAACTTTGATATTAACTTATAAATTAACTTTGACAGTTTTATGTTGGGCCTCAAAACTAAGACAATCGAGCATTAAAAATAAAAATTAGATACTTATTATTAAAACTAAGTAGGTGGTCATTATATTTGTATACTAACATTATATTAATTATATTTTTTTATAAAAAAAAATACATGCGCATTTGACCTCCATCTCAACTGATGGAAAGCGCATTTGACCTGAAAACGTGTACGGAAACGCAAGCAAAATGGTTTCTGGCACTCGCCGGCCGCTGCCGCGTCACGCTCGCTTCGCTCGCTCGGCTCGTGCTCCTTTTTCATATACTAACCTAACCTACTGAATGGAGAACGCAACCAAGCAACCAAGATTTATTAGGAGATCAATAACAAAAGATATACTGGTTGTAAATGTCATCAATCGTTAAAAGAAAAGACCAATAACAAAAAAGAGGATCAAATATTTTTTTGAATACCAAATATTCTCTGCTCAAACATAATGATACTGTTTGAACTTTGAACCTTGAATGCAGTTCATTTATAATTTATCCGTAAATCAACTAAAATAAACGGAACAATTAACATATATATGTCAAACATAAAAAAATATCGTTTATTAAAAAAAGTTCACGTTTACAATAGATCAATTGTATCTTGGAAGATCAAATAATATTATCCCCTATTATATTTTACAAGTTAATTGACTGAACTTATACAACCTATGTCCCTACTTTGAGCAGCGTTATGGCGTTCACAAAACGTACTTTACGACAATGCACGTGAAATATTGTTCAGTAAACAATAAACACGGGGATTTCGTGAGGCAAGTGACGTCAAGAGCTATGCTACGAATGTAAAGGCTGACAACTTGTGTTTGGATCTTTGCCATGTTGCAGAATTTCATAGAACTAAGTTCTTCTTCCAACGGCACGAACAATGACGTTAAAAATCAATACAAGCGCATTTATATATACGCTAATGTAGAGCGGTAGTAGTCCACGGGGACAACGATTCCCTCCCAATGGAGAGTTCAGCAGTTCGATTCTCTGCATCCCAGTTCCCAGTAAACAGCGCATCAAACTTTTGTCCGAATATCGCCTCCAGTGCCACAGAACAAGGTCCGTTAAAATAATAATAATATCATAATAACTCGCACAC